GATCTGTAGAATTGAAGAGATCCACTAACCCTTTAATTAATGGGTGATGATCTGTGACCTTTCCCTAACATGTTATTGATCTACAACTCCCATAATTCTCTTTCATTCTGTAGCATTTGACGAGTTATGATTAAACAATAGCTGGAAGGTCATAACATGACACTCCTGCTTTAAATGTCAGGGGTAGCAGCAAGCCACTCAGAAATAATACAAATAATAAAATAAGACGAAGATGACTCTGTGACATCTCCACCATTTTAAAGAACAACTACAGCTTATTGAATTTGTTCTGGTGAGTAGAATCATTACCTTCAGGCTTTTTGCTGTAAACACTGTCTTTTCAGAGAAAATGCAGTGTTTACGTTACAGCCTAGTGATAACTTCACTGGCCACTCCTCAGGTGGCTGTTAGAGATCCTTCCTGGATCATTGCTGCCTACAATGCATCCAAGCATTCAGTGTCTCCTCCCTCTGCATGCAGACACTGAACTTTCCTCATAGAGATTCATTGATTCAATTCATCTCTATGAGGAAATGCTGATTGGCCAGGGCTGTGTTTGAATTGTGCTGACTCTGCCCCTGATCTGCCTCCTTGTCAGTCTTAGCCAATCCTATGGAGAAGCATTGTGATTGGATCAGGCCACCACTTCTGATGATGTCAACAGACAGCTTGCTATTCCGAGGCAAACAGCATGCAGAGCTACAGCTTCAGGCTTGAATACAGTAAGATTTTGCTATATCTATGGAGGCATGAGGGGCCCATGGTGGCTAGATGGTGGTTTTAACACTAATACATGTTAGTGTTCCTGACCCTATAGCGATCCTTTAAACTCTTGTAAACCCTTCTTGATTGTAAATAAATGAATATTTAAGACAAAAAGTAAGGCTTCTCATCTTGTCATATTTGTAATATTGTATCTTCCTGTTGCATGAATAAGTTGCACCTAACTGCTAGGTGAAATTTGCATTAAAAAAAACAAACCTTGCTGTACATGAGCTTATGGACCATAATAAATAGATCCTGATCGGTGGGAAGAGTTTGCCTAAAGCTTCATTCAGCACATTTCACATTTGAGTTTGAAAAGTCAGGTCACTTTTTTTGTATTATTTTGTAATGCAGTAAAAACAGGAGGTATTTTTATTTTAAAAGTTAAGATAGACCTGATTAAATTTAATTGCTGTATTTAATGATGTGTTACACATATATTCTTCACACTGACATTCAGCTTATGAATAAATGTTAACTCACAAAACATGTTAAGCTATTTAGTTGTGCTATTTTCTCATAATTTGCTTTTTGTATACTTTCTATGTCTCTATTAATTTAAAGGGACACTATAGTCACCAAAACCACTACAGCCTAATGTAGTGGTTTTGGTGTCTATAGCCACCCCCTGCAGTTTTGGCACTTTAAACACAGCCCTTTCAGAGAAAATATAAATATAAAATATATATATATAGATCATAATGCTTGATGATCTTAGCCCTGGAGACGGAGTGAGTTGGGATGAGAGCAGCACGTCATGGGAAAAAAGGTGAACTTAGACACCTTATTTCTCCATTGAGAAGTGGGGAGTTGGAGACCTTGAAAGGTAAATTTGCTACTCTGGTGACTCGGTCCCTCTGGTCACTATTCTCCAACCCTTGATTGTCAGCTGAATATTCAGGGAAGATTTTTATGGAAGCGTATTAACCAGACACACACTCTTTGCTTTCCATAATCTTCAAATGTATTATAAAAAGGATGGCATATTTATACAGTATTGATTATGAACTTTGACATACATTGGTTATAATGTGCTTACAAAAGATAAATGTTGCTAAAAGCGGAAATAGCTGATCTTGCAAAAGACCACGGTCAATGTAAGTGTTTTAATATTCATCCTAACAAGGATTTCTATAGAGTGAGTGCTACTCTCATCCGTACAAAGGCATTCCAAAGGGGTTTATGTAAAACTTCATAGAAGACAGATTGCATAAAATATAAGCAAATGTAAGAGAAGTACATGTTACACAAGTTAAGGGTTTAACCTTAATCTCTAATTTAAATTTTAGCCTAGGTAATTAGGCCTTGAAATTCTGACTCTGTTCCTAAACTGGAACCTTGATTTGATATTCAAAATTTATTACTTTAATAATCCCGAATAATTCAATACTCTTGGATTAACACCTAAAACTATGTAAAATATTAAAAACATGAACCATCTGTGTATTAGGCTGGGGCTGTTGGGTGTGGGTATAGATTGGAAGCTGTGGTTGATATTGAGGAATCTGTGGGGGTGAGTTTGGGCACTCATTTTTTCAGTGACCCTGCTATCCACAATTGCTGTATCTTCCCCAAAAAAATTATTTGGGGTCAAAAAGGGCCAGTCACAGACCAACAAGGAACAAAAGTGAACAAGGAGGAAGCATATTCCATATGCAGGTTGGGATTACCTAACTCACACCCCCTCTTTGTGTACCCCTCTTTGTACCACACAGATTTACTATTAATAAGCTTTTAAAGGTTTTATATAAAGCAAGGTTGTCTAGGGGTATATACATATAGGCATAGCCTTCATATAGGGCTTGCAATACTGACAGTCTGTGTCATGAGCATAATGTAGACATGCGGTTAGGTACTTTTCCATTATTATAATATATTGAAAACACTAAGACCTTGCAAATTTTTAAAACACATATTGCTTCCTGTACCTGGGGCCATGCAAGGATGTAATTGGGACATATTTCTAATTGAGTATCAAAAATCTAACAACAAAACTAAATGTTATACGCTTATCAAGAAAACAAGTTTAACCCGTTAGTGCGTACTTTGGTTAGCCTCTTTGCATACTTTGGCTCCTAGTGAGATTATTATATTATTTATTAATCCTCTTCTGGATCTGCAAAATGCTTTCAATTTACCCATACAAATATAATACAGTAGTTTAGGAGATTAAAATTACCTCACTTATAAATTTCCGAAATTGTCTTATCTCTATTAAAAATACCATTTTATTATTACCCCATAATCAATGAGGCATTCTAGATGAATCTTACTTTGACACAAACAATGCAATATACTTTAAAAGTAGAGTTAACTCTGAGCTGGACAATACTCCCCTATTAGAACTCCTTTATGAGGGAGAGACATCTTGTCCATTTATCCTTTTTATCAGTAAAAGAATGACTTTCAGGATTAATCAATTTGCAAATGGAAACGTGGATCCACGATTTGAACAGCAGAAGTTTGCGGGGCCCCTTTCACGTGGGATGTAACAAGCGCTTTTCTTGCTCCAGGAGCGATAGCATACAATTGTTTAATTCTAGCCGGCTGGACAGCATTTCACCTTTTGTAAAAACACTAAATGCTTACGTTAATGATATGCAAATCACTCTGCTAGTTAAACTCCTACACAATGGACAATAAAATACATGAAACACATAACACACCAATTCATTTCAAACCATATAACTCATACTCAGCATCCAATGTAATATTACATGTCATCTCACAAAACAGACATCTCACAAAACAGACATCTCACAAAACAGACATCTCACAAAACAGACATCTCACAAAACAGACGTAGTAGAAACACATAATGGATACCCAGCAGATATGCCAATACAGAAAACACATTCATGGGCACGCAACTACACACTCTGTGTCCCTCCTAGGAAACACGGGTAGACACAATATGAAAGCAATCTTAAACTAACACCTCCAAATCTCCATTCCCATATAGCTATATCAGAACACAACACAGAGCCTCTCTAAGCTCATAGAACTACTCTTGGCCAAAACGCTAGTATTCAACAGCTAATAAAACCGTTATTTGCTGGGTTATTTGACTGGCATTTTTATCAGTATCACTAGACTGAGACAAACTGATTCAAATACAATTTAAAACAACACAGCAACATATAAATTAAACCACTCTCCAGTTAAGCTGCACACTTCACACATTATCACAATCACCATTTACACAGAATAAACAGTTAACAGCTGTACTCAGAACATATTATTGTAAGTTATACCAATTTTAGTTTGTATTAGATTTATTTTAGGAATTCTTATGTATACATTTTTTTATTTTATTTTTTATTTTTTTAATTCTTATTAACTTCATTACTTTAATCTACTATAGTATTGTATATAGAGAAAGGATCCATTTATATAGCGCGCTCATAACTCAAATATTTGTATGAAACTTCCATTAACTAATCTGAGATGATACTGCATCAACTTAAATCTTATAGAAATTGAGCAAACATTTGGACCAGATTACACAGACATGGTTTCACCAGAATCTTACAGAACTCTCAGAGACTTAAAAAATTTATAGACCGGTCAGTCTCCAAGAGCCTTTGTAACACAGGTAAAAACCTTTGTCCATAATCTCTGATCCAGGCTATATCCCACAATTTAGAAGAACAGAACACATATAATGTGAGACATAGAAGACACAAAACATATGCAGTAGTTATTACACTGGATCATTTAAAAGGAACCTGTAGCAATAAAAAGGTTAGCTTACGGCACAAAATGAAGCATGTGTTGGACCGCTGAAAATGTAAATGTTGCTCTCTTATTTACAAACAAAAATCATATTAACAGGATGGTTCCTTTGCAACAAACACACAGGGCATGGAAGATGTGCTGATTGGTGTTCTATACAATTAATCCCATATGGGGAATTAACTTTCAAATACTAATGAAGTGACTTTTTGTCTCAGTTATAAAAATACTGAGCTCATCATGCAAACTATGCAAGACATTTACACTATCCCACTCTCATAGAAAGTGTAGTGGGTTTATGGTATTAAAGCAACAATCATATCAGGCACACAGATCCCATGTGAAATAACTTGCAATAAAACAGAGTAATAAACTTATACTTCTATGCAACAGAAAGAATAAAGCAAAAGATTTAAGTAGGTCTATCAGGTACAACCTGCGAGCCAGTTCTTTTCTAATATACAGTACTGGTATCTTATATATATATTGGTCACTCAGGACCTGAACTTACATTTCCATACTGCTGACTCAGGGTGGACACACTACTAACTTACCAAAGTGTGTCCCCAATATAGACAATCACCCAATTGATGGAGAATCATTGTTTGCAATAAAGACATGGACACTACAAATGTGCTTTAACAAGATTCTCAGTGTGTATATTTTCAGGGTTAGCATATAAAGCAAAAAGAGTTTAACTATTTCATATCCTTACAGTCAGCACTAATGATTATAAACCTTATCTAAGCATAAAATACATATGAACAAGAAAAGTTAACTACTTCATATTCTTGCATGGTAATTTCCCATTCCTAGGACAAATCTTTCAAACACTTATTCACACTCACAACCAGACTTAACTAATGACAATTAGAGGGTGGACAAGGTGAACCTGAAACTCTGTGCACACTATCGTAGTATATTCACTTATATACTAAATTCTCTGTCTATATCACTTTATAAACTTCCTTTTATCTGTCTAATTCTCTTATTAGACCTTCTCTAGTTCACTTACTAGAAATACATATATCTCTGTGTCTAGTTCCCTTACTAGACTAATTTAATGGAACTTTATGTAAAACTGAGTCACATAAAACACATATACTAAATAACCTTTCCTAAAATGATGTAGACTTACAAAACCATGGGGATCATAGATTCAGGGCGTCCAGATAGACACAAGGAATTACTACTCACCCAAAATGGTTTGGCTACAATCCCACTTCTGACACCAAGCTGAAAGGTAAATTTGCTACTCTGGTGACTCGGTCCCTCTGGTCACTATTCTCCAACCCTCGATTGTCAGCTGAATATTCAGGGAAGATTTTTATGGAAGCGTATTAACCAGACACACACTCTTTGCTTTCCATAATCTTCAAATGTATTATAAAAAGGATGGCATATTTATACAGTATTGATTATGAACTTTGACATACATTGGTTATAATGTGCTTACAAAAGATAAATGTTGCTAAAAGCGGAAATAGCTGATCTTGCAAAAGACCACGGTCAATGTTAGTTTGCGGATGCGTCTGTTGATTCAAAAGCAAAGTGATAAATCAAAAATAACCTGTGGTTTGTAGTTTTTAGCTCTTGTGTAAATCTTAAGAAAGAGAATATAATATCAGAAATTATAGATGAGAATCATTAACCCCTTCCCTTCAGACCTAAATAGCTATTTTAAAATCATAGTGTCAGGAATACATGTGTTAAAATAGCTGTTTTAGTCTTACACATAAATGCGCCTTTTCCAACTAAAATGTAGACTTGTGCAAAGTTCTGCTGAATGTTTTTTTTTTCCAACTATCGAAATATTTTTGGAACACCTAAATTTCAATCAGATATTGGTTTGACATGGCTGAATGCCTATTTAGGAACTGAATTAGAAGAACAAGCCAAAATGGCAAAACAAATGGACCAATCGATTGACTTGAAAATATATACAGTATATAATATTATGTATATACTTTGCAGTTGACTGATAGGAACATTTCTCTGCCATTTGGTTCACAGATCAATTGAGAAAAAGTAGCAAGTAGAGGTGAAAACAGGAAGAGAAATAAAAAAGATCTATATTAATATATCAGATATTTATTAAATATATAATATATAAATATTGATATTGTACTGCTCCTTCTGTTTTCCCCTCTATTTATCACTTCTCACTTGACCTATGAATAAAATTAACATTTAGTGCCTCTCCTTTATCTATGAGTCATCTTTTTTTCCATCAATCATCTCTTTCTTTTAAAAGAAAAAAATCTCACGCACTCACTGTGATAAGTTAAGCAGGTTTATTGGCCACCGCAACGTTTCAACCTGCACCCAGGTCTTTATCAAGCTTTATAAAGACCTGGGTACAGGTCGAAACGTTGCGGTGTCCAACTTTGCGGTGTCCAGACCCTAAAAACAGCATTGATTAACTACACCCAGTACTCACAAGCAACCAAGTCATGAAGAAACTTCTAAGCAGAGGTATAATCTCTGGAAGGCTGATATCCGTAATATTCCATTTCCTCTCTCTGATCACAACTTCTTATTGTTTGCTCTCAAGTACCCCCCCACCCAACAACCTCAGCCTAACCCCCCTCAACTCAGGAAGAATCTTAATTCTATTGACCTCCAGCAGCTGTCAGCTGATATTGATTCACAACTGCTATCCATCCCTTCCCTCTCCTGTCTCTCACTGGCTATCTCCACATATAACACTAACCTCACCTCTGCCTTAAGCGCTGCAGCCCCACTCCAAACATGCACCTCGAGGAGGGCACGCCTTCAACCATGGCATACTAAATACACACGCTACCTGCAAAGATGCTCCCATTGTGCTGAACGCTCCTGGAGGAAGTCTCACACCCAGTCAGAATTTCTCCATTATAGATTCATATTGTGTTCATACAGTGCAGCCCTTGCCCTCGCCAAACAGTCCTACTTTTCCTCTCTCGATAGTTCATGCTCCTGCAACCCCAGGCGTCTCTTTGACACCTGTAATTCTCTTCTTCTCTCTGCTGTGGCCACCCCCCAAACTAACCTTACAGCTGATAGCTTTGCATGTTGCTTTATTGAGCAGCTAAGGCAATAATTCTCCCCACCCTGTCTTTCTCTTTCTCAACCATTTGTAGATCATGCCTTTCCTACCCTTCAGACTTTCTCCCCAGCTACTGAACAAAAGTTGGCTGTGCTTCTCCTTTCCTCTCGCCCCACCACTTGCCCGCTCGATCCTATCCCATCTCACCTTATCAGATCTCTCTCCCTTTGTCTTGCGCCTTCCTTAACTCACATCTTCAACTGCTCTCTCTCTTCTGGCATTGTTCCTGCTGACCTTAAACATGCCACTGTAGTACCTATTCTGAAAAAAAACATCTGACCCGTCCTCCCCCTCTTTCTATCGTCCCATATCCCTGCTCCATTTCTCCTCAAAGCTTCTGGAAAGACTTGTCTTTACCCGTATGTCTCACTTCCTCAATTCCAACTCTCTCCTTGACCCTCTTTAATCTGGCTTCCGCCCTCTCCACTCTACTGAGACTGCTCTTATCAAAGTTACTAATGACCTAATCGCAGCTAAATCCATACTAATTCTCCATACTAATTCTTCTTGACCTCTGCTGCCTTTGACACTGTTGATCATGTTCTCCTTCTTCAAACTCTTCAATTGCTCAGTCTCTGTGACTCTGTCCTCTCGTGGGTTTCCTCTTATCTCTCCCAATGCTCATTCAGTGTCTCCATTTCTAATGATACCTCCTCCCCTCGTCCTGTTTTGGTTGGAGTCCCCCAAGACTCTGTCCTTGGTATCCTTCTATTTTCTCTTTACACTGCCTCTCTTATTACCTCTTTTGGATTCCACTACCACCTGTATGCTGATGACACCCAGTTATATCTCTCCTCCCCGGACCTCTCCTCTGCCGTCCTGCAATGTGTCAGTGCTTGCCTTTTTTCCATTTCTGACTGGATGTCCTCCCGCTTTCTGAAATGCAATCCCTCTAAAGCTGAGCTCCTCGTCTTTCCTCCTCCTAATACTGATCCTCCTCTTTCACTCTCCCTTCAAATTATTGGTATCCACATCCATCCTTGCAAGCTAGCTGTCTTGGCATCATACTTGATTCTGGCCACACCATTGAGCCTCACATCCATTATTTTGCCAAATCCTGTAAATTCCATCTTAAAAACATAGCCCGCATCCGCCCCTTTCTTACACAAGATGCTACCAAGGAGCTTGTTCATGCTCTCGTAATTTCCTGCATGGATTATTGTAACCCTCTCCTAATTGGTCTTCACAAAAGCCATAATGCCCCACTACAGTCTGTAATGAATGCTGCCGCCAGACTGATATTTCTCTCTAGTCGATCCTCTCACACCTCACCCCTCTGTCAGTTCTTACATGTATCCTATAAGAGTGAATTCAAAGTGCTAACCCATACCTATAAAGCACTAAACAATTCTAGCCGCTCTTATATCTCTTCACAGATCCATAGGTATGCCCTTTCTCTGTCTCTCCGCTCTGCCTATGACCTTCTCCTGTCCGCTACTCGCACCCGTATGGCCAATTCACGTTTGCAGGAGGCTCCCTTCCTATGGAATAGCCTGCCTACCCGTATTCTCAATCCTGTTATTTGCATTACCCTACAATTCAACATTTGTTGAATCACATAACTGTTTTATTTTCATATTTGGTACTTGGTGTGAAAGTGTTATGTGCTGTCATATAATTAGTTGGATATTGAAATTTCCATATTCTAAGTGAAGTACATATCACGTTTGTTGATTTGTATTGATTGTCAGTTAATCTAATTGTGCAGTGTATTCAATGTTGACTGTGGTAGATGTCATTGAGTTATATTTAACTTATGGGCAACTCTTACGTTGCATGTGTTTGGCCAGTAAACACTAATATATAAACAAAGCCATTAAATTACATGCTAAGCATAAGAAGCTGTACGACAATAAAGTTAAAGGTGTTAAATAGATTCCAAAAAAACATACATGCTGTCTCTGTTTGTAAACATTAATTTATACTGGATTTAGGAGCCATTTTCATCCAACCCATCTGTTTATATACTTACATTCATTTTTTGTGGCATATTTCCATAGGGAAGGTATGGTAAAGGAAACAATGATTTTGCAGGATGATGCGGTTATGACTAAAAAAACATATTTTATGAAAAAGATGCTTTATTTATATTTAGTAAAAAAAAAAATATTCCATTATTTATCTTGTTTTTTTGTTGTTGTTAAATTATTGCCTTCTATAGTACACAATTTCATCTTTATCATTCCCCTTCTTTTGTACATTCTCATCTCTGAACATAAAAGTGTTTGGAATCCTCTGTTCTCTCATCTAATTCCAGAAACTTGATCACAAGTCTCTAAAGGATTATGAAACATCACATTGGTGTGTAAAATACAGACTTAACCTGATTGCCAAGAGGCCTTTGCAGGTGCCGTGTCTTAGAACACGTTCTTATTTCATCTCTAGTTACAATATTATATGTTGATTGCTTTGCTCCTTACTGAATGGGAGTAAAAATTATTCTTCCCGCGTGACATATTCAATGTGGAACTATATCTAATCACTCTTCTGATAATACAGATAGCGAGGCTTTGTAGCTTGGTTTTATTGTGGATTTATTCAGAGAAAAAAAATTGACCTAATTATCTTCAATCCATGACATCTTTGTATACGGGGAATAAAGTGATTAAAGTAAGATTTAGGTATCTCCTCTTGTAAGAC